GGGTTTCCAAGGAGCAGCTGATGGGTTTGAACCGCTGACCTTGTGGTTAGCAGTCCAGTACTAATTTACAGTGCCACACCAGGAGTTTCCTTGGTAATTGTTAGAGGAGTAGAGTTTCTATGTCCCAGTCTCCACATCCCATCACATCCCCTGTCCTTACTGGATCAGTTCCAACACCCTCCTTTTCATGGCTTGGACCAGGTCCCGCTGCCCTCCAAGCTCCTCTTGATACAGGGCGTCCTTCCGCTCAGATTCCTGTTGCTTCTGTTCTAGTGCTGCCTGCAGCCCAGCCTTCTCTTCCTGACACCTGAGAACAGAGGAAAGACTGAAGAGAAAGAGGCCTAGGTCTGTCTTCATGACTGAGCCAGCCTGAGAGGAGCTTGTGGTGCACCTTCAGCTGATGTGCACACACACACACACACACACAGAACCGAAACTGAGCACGGTGTGTGGTCTGTCACCTCTACACCTGACTCATTGCCAACTGTTCAGAGAAAAGAAATGAAATCTGCACTGAGCTTTGCCAGTTCTTTTAGAGGGGATGGACCAATGATTCCATTTTTTAATGTAATTTTCTTGAAAGAATGTTCAAAATCACAGTATCTCTCTGTAGGACAGATGGATGCCTGGGGACCCAGACAGGGGGACCATGCCCAATGGAAAACAATTTTGGTAGAGCAGGAGGTAGGCTTGTGAGTTTTTGCTTTAAAATATTATTTAAAAGTATGCTACATTACAAGCAAAAGAAGACAAAATAGATGATTGGGACATTTTAAAAATTAGAAACTTATGTGCCTCAAAGGATTTCACCAAAAGAATAAGAAGGGAGCCCACAGAATGGGAAAAAATATTTTGCAATGACATATCAGACAAGGGACTAATTTCTAAAATCTATAGGAAATTATAACACTTCTACAATAAAGAGACAAGTAACCCAATTGAAAAATGGGCACAGGACGTGAACAGACTCTTCACCAAAGAAGACATTCGGGCAGCCAACAAACATATGAAGAAATATTCAAGATCATTAGCCATTAGAGAGATGTAAATCAAAACAAAAATGAGATATCATCTCACACCAGCAATAACAGTGATGTTAAAAAAATGCAGAGGATAATAAATGCTGGTGAGGATGTGGACAGACTGGGACCCTCCTACATTGCTGGTGGGAATGCAAAATGGTCCAACCATTCTAGAAAACAGTATGGCACTTTCTTAGAAAGTTGGAAATAAAAATACCATATGATCCAGCAATTCCTCTCCTTGGTATATATCCACAAGAAATACAAGCTATAACACGAGTAGATATATGCACACCAATGTTCATAGCAGCACTACTTACAATAGCAAAGTGCCCATCAATGGAAGAATGGATAAACAAACTTTGGTACATACACACAATGGAATATTATGCTACCTTGAAGAATAACAAGGAAGCTGCAAGGCACCACATAACATGGATGAACCTTGAGGACCTTATGTTGAGTGAAATTAGTCAGTTACAAAAGGACAAATATTGTATAAGACCATTATTGTAAAAACTTAAGAAAAGGTACCATACTAAAATGAAAAAAAAATAATTTCTTTGTTGGTTGCCGGTGGGGTTGAAGTGGGCGGGGGGGTTTGGGGGGCGTGGAGGGAGGTGATGGTAGAGCACAGGGTAGGGACAGACACATCATAGTTTGGGTATTGGGGAGGGCAGTACACAAGAAAGGGCAGGGGGTGGAAGAACAAGGTAGATAGGGGAATACTGAGACAGGTTTGCATGGGCTAAATGGTACAGAGGTAAATGGTGATACATGTTTAACCTTGGAGCATCAACCTTGGGCTCTGTGATACAGGGATCAAAGCCTAGTTTGAAGAGGGGAAATAATACTAAGATGCTTGACCTGGAGATGGGAGAGAAAAGAGGAAGGGCTGGCTGGTCCAAAACGTGGTGAGACCTGGGGACACCTGAGCCTATGGACAATGACATAGACCCAGAGGGCTAGAGCTGAGAGTGAAGCATCCTGCTGATATGAAGTGAGGGGATATGCACAAGAACAACCAAAGTTGTAGATAGTACCCATTTGACCTAGCCTCGATGGCTTGATAATCAGAACTCAACTAGAGGAAGATAAAAAAAAAAAGAAAAAAAGAACAAACAAGTTTTGATAAAGGAAACGCGGGTAAATTGCTACAATTTAATGAACTTGATCTATACTCATGGAGGTAGTAACTCTAAATACCAACAGAGAGGGAAGGAATCGTCACATCAAGTGTCAATACTATTCCCTCTGTACAAGGGATACAAGGGATAGGGATAGGCAACTTAGACATTGGCTACTTAAACTGAGGGGGTGATAAAGGCACAAAGTGACTGACTTACAAGGTTTCAAGAGGAAGTTTAGTTTAATAGTGTGTATGGGAAGAAAGAGTCCTCACTGAATAGTTTTCATCTTGTCTAGAAGGGTCTGGTTACAAGAGATGGGGATAAGATTCTTAGGATTCTATAGTGAGTAATTATTATCATGACAAATTGCGACTGTCACAATTATAGAAGTAGAAGTTTTGTAACAAAAATGGGGAATTAGTTAATTTTACAATCCAGAAACAAAGTACCATAGGATCATCAAGGCAGAAGAGCACAAGTGGAATGTGAGACCTTATCCAAAGAAGTAGCGACACCAGAGATGGAGGCAGAGATGGGGGACATAGAAAGAAGGAGGGAGCAGCTAAGGACTCTAGATTCTTGGGAAGAGAGGGACGAAGAGCTGGTGACCAGGAGGCAGATTTACAGAATATGCCCTTTGGTGGTGTAAATTATTATATATGCCTTAGTGTTTTTTTTTTTTAAAAAGAGCTAAAGTGAATGGAGAGAAATACTGTTAACTGATGATGGTACACAGAAGAGATTATAATCATTGTAATGAAACAAGGTGTATGATTTGTTGAATGTGAAACTGATGATCTGCCCTGTAAACTTTCACTCAATCCGCAATAAAAACCTTAAAAAAAAAAAAAAAGTATGCTGCATTGTGAGCCATCATATAAGGTGCGAATATTGGTCTCTTCCTGTCTGGAAGAAAGAAGAGTGAAGAAAATTAAAGACCCATGGAAACAATTAGTCCAATGGACTTAGGGACCCTGTAAACATCAATCTCTCCATGACCCTGAGACGAAAAGCACGAAATGGTACCTGGCTGCTCTACCAATTGCTCTGAAAGGGAGCATATTAGAAGGTCCTGGATTGAGTGGGAGAGAAACAGGGACCAAAATTCAAAATGAAAAAAGACCAGGCCTACTGGTTAGAGGCTGGTGGAACCCCTGAGATTATGGCCCTTAGTCACCTTTGAGGTCTGTAAATGAAACACAGGGGGCAAGAGGGATAAATGTTACATTGTAGGATTGCAATCAGTGATGTGAAACAAAATGTGTATGAATTGTTGGATAGAAAACAGATCTGCTCTGTAAATCTTCACCCAATTCACAATAAAAAACTACCCAGAAATGGTTTTTCTAAATCCTGTTTTCATTTTGGACTTGGCACGTCTTCAGCTCCACTTTTGCCTTTGCTTTTTGTCTTTAGTGGCTTCCTAGAAGGTTCTCTCCAAAAAATCTACAGGAAAGAAAAAGTCCTGACCCAGATCCTAGCATCTTACTCCAGTGCTCAGAGAGGAGAGTGTGCACCCCATGTCCTGAGTTTGTGTGTGCATGCGTGTGCACGTGTAAGCCATCTGTGCTTGAGTATGTTTGAGGGGAAGAGGTATAACCATTAATTGAATTACTCATTTTCAAAACTCTGCCCTGTAGCATGCTGCATGGAAAAAAACTGGGTGGGTGAAGACATTGAACTACCATCAGCAAGTAACTGAAGTTCCCAAACGCGAGTCGCTGGTGCTTCAACTTTTCAGTCCCCAGCTGCCCTGTTTCTTAGCAGCTGACTTTAATTTTCCTGAGCTAGCTAGCTAGCTCACTTTTCATTGAGATTTTGTGCAAGAGGATTTAGTCCTGGGTGGTCATGGACCCCCTGGAATCATCAGAGCAGGCATTAATGTGATTGCTATGGTGTATGTGAAGGAACACTTACTAAGAACTTGTTGGTTGTTGTTACTGTAAGATCCCTGGATCACACAAAAACTTGGCCCTTTGACTACTAACTGAAAAGCTGGTGATATGCAGCTACCCCACAGCACCATGGAAGAAAGACCTGGCCATCTGCTTCTGTAAGGATGTAGTCAACTTAGTTCTACTATGTGACACATGGGACCATCATGAGTAGGAATGGTGTCAAGAGTAACATTGGTGTTGGTTGTTATTGCTATTGTTAATTGCAGTGGTTTCCAAGGAGTCATGGTGACCTTATGTATAATAGAATGAAACAATGCCTGGGCTGACAGAACCTTCAAGATAATTACTATATTTGAGTCCATTGTTGTGACTCTATTAAGAACTTTTTGCTGTTGTTAAATGCTGTAGAGTCAGTTCCGACTCATAGCAACCCTGTACAGTGTTTCCGAGGCTGTAAATCTTTACAGGCCAGAAAGCCTCATCTTTCTCTCCCAGAACTGCTGGTAGTTTTGAACTGCTGATGGTGAGATTAGCAAGCCTGACTCATAACCACTACACTAACCAGAGCTCCTAAGTGCCAGGATTAGAGCAGTGTTAAAGACAGCATCTCTGCCCTGGTAGAGTTTACAGTGTGGTTGGGAGCTGTGGTCCAACAAGTGAGAAACCAGTGAAAATAGTTAAGCTAAGTAAGCGTTATGACAAATAAAGAAGGAATTGAGTAGAGAACAGAGAGTGTACTCAGGAAGACGTCTCAGACAAGGAAAGATTTAAGCACTGAACTGTTAACTACAAGGTCGGTAATTCAAACCCCTAGCTGCTCTTTGCAATCCCTATACAGGGTCGCTGTGAGTTGAAACTGACTTGATAGCACTTAACAACAACAAAAGATGGGAAGAAGATGTAGTTGGTAAGGGACACGTGCAACGTTCTTCAAGCTGAAATGCTGACTCACAGAAGGCTTCTTAGAAGAGCTGAAACATAACTAGTGAAGCTGGGGTGCCCTGCATGGTGGGAAGAGAGGGAGGAGATGAGCTGGGGAGTTGGCAGGGTCTACCCCAGGAGGAGTGGACTTCCATCTCAGTGCAAAGGGAAGACATGGGAATATTTTAAACAAGGGTAACAGACATTCCTAGTGCAGAATGAGACATGAAAGGCATCAAAGTTTATTGATCAGCTACTATATGCCAGGCACTGAGCTTTGTGCTTTACAGCTTGGTTTCATAGAACTTTCACAACATTGTGAGATAGCTAATATGATCTTCCAGGCAGAAAAGAGAGCCTCAGAGAGGGCATGACATTTACCCAAGGTCACACAGCATGATGACTGTAAGGATGAGAAATCTGAATGCAGGTCCATCAGCTCTGAACTCTTCCTGCCTCCTCACATCTTGATGCACACGGGCCCTAATCACAGTGATTTGAGGCACCTGTGCTCAAGAGGCAACAGATAAGAAAGAGGGATGGTCCATAGGAGCTGTGACCCTGTCCAGAGGGCAGAGAGGGATTGTGATGTTGCCCTATTCCTCATCCTGATGGCCGCTTTGTTTGTCCAGTCCCTCTCTCCTATGCTTCAGTCTTACCCACGGGCAGAGGAAACCCACGTGCTTGGAAAGATAGCCTCACAGATCAGGAGCTGAAAGGAGGAACCTTACAGATTTAGGCCTCCTTTTGCAATTCAGGAACCTGAGGCCAGAGAGGGGAGGCCAGGACCCCAAGCATGAAGTCAAGATTCAAATCTTTTCTCAGTTCCAAGTGCATTTTCACAGTCCCAGATGGTCTACCACAGGGGTGGGTGGGGTACTGTTGTCTAGAAGATGGGCTGTATTCCCCTCGGCAATCTAGATGGAGGTCTTGCTCTAAATCAACTGGTGACACTTCTAACTCATGCCCAACACTTCTCTGTCCTATATCCCAATAGCTGGCTTCCCCTTCTGGTCCTTATTCAAGGAGTCTCCTTTTCAGAGAAGCCTTCTCTGATCATGCCTCTTTAAAGTATTACCTCACATTCCCTTTTTCTGCTTGATTTGTTTCTTCTTAGAACAGTTTACAATTTAACATACTACATTGTTGTTAAGTGCCGTGGAGTCAGTTCTGACTCACAGTGACCCTGTACAGGGTTTCTGAGGTTGTAAATCTTTATGGGAGCCGAAAGCCTCATCTTTCTCCCATGGAAAGGCTGGTAGTTTTGAACTGCTGACCTTAAGGTTCGCAGCCTGATTCCTAACCACTACGCTACCAGAGCTCCTGGTAAGACTTAAGATATATGTTGCTTATTGTTATTTATCACAAGCTCCACAAGGGCAGGGATTTGCCTGGTTTGTCCCCAACTGTATTTTGGCACAGAGCAGGCACTCCGTGTGTGTTCAGTGACTGAATGACCAATGGAATGACAGATGGAAGGTCAGCCATCTGTGAGGCAGTGGTGCCTCCAGTCTCAGGGGCCTCCAGCCTGTCTGGTCCCCACAGAAGGCCCATGAGTGGACAAGGACTGTGTGTGCATTCAGGGCCTGAATCATCGGAATCCTTATTGACCAACTCACCCAGCTCAGCTGAGTGTATGATGGGAGAAGCACAGGTTCCTTTTGGGTTGGTTTCTGGGCTCTCAGGCCTCTCTCACCCATTAAGCAGACAGTCAAGACTGATCTGTGTGATTCAGCCTGAATCACAGCTATCCAGAGTCTGCTGAGGGTCAAGCTGGTCCTCCCAGCCCCAGGGGCAGATGTCAGCCCTGTGGGAGGAAGAGAGACAGAGGCAGAAGGGCAGACTAAGCACAAAGATGGACGGACAGACACACACACAACAACTGAGTCCGATAGAGGCATATCGTTCATGGCAGAAGGATTTAAAAATAAATTATGAAACAGAAACAAACACTGAGAGACTGGAAAGGTAGAGACAAAGACAGTCCCTGAGAATGATTGATGGTGTAAAGATAAAGATGCTGATGGTGAGTGATACTGAAGGGAAGAGAGACTGAAATAAAAACCAAACGAAACCAAAGTCAGTTCGGACTCATAGTGATGCTACAGGCAGAGTGGCATTGCCCACAGGGTTTCCAAGGCTGTAAATCTTTGCTGGTGGATTCCAAATGCCGACGTTTTGACTAGCAACTGAGTGCTTAGTCACTGTATCATCAGGGATCCTTAACTAAAATATTGTTGTTGTTAAGTGCCATTGAGTTGGTTCTAACTGTTTAGGGTTTCCAAGGAGCGGCTGGTGAGTTTGAACCATTGACCTTGTGGTTCAAACCAATGTTGGGGTCCAATGTTTTATCCCCCAATGCCACACCACAGGCACTCAAATTAGTGACTGTTCAAATCCACGGATTCTGGGATCAAGGGCTAGGCTTTGAATCTCAGCTCCTTCTCTAACCTGCTGACTTTTAGTAAATGGTATAATATCTTTGAACCTCAATTTCCTCATCTATAAAATGGGAGTAAGGCTTTAACTCTCATACCTAGGACATGTTATCAGGAAGGACCAGTCCCTTTGCTAAGTTTGGTAAAGTGAAGGGTCAGCAACAAAGAGGAAAACCCCAGTGAGATGGATTGGCGCAGTAGCAGCAGCAATGGGCTTAAGCGTAACAATTGTGAGGAGAGTGCAGGATTGGGCAGTGGTTCCTTCAGTTGTGCAGAGGTCGGTTCCTTGTGAGTTGGAACCTGACTGGAAGGTACCACCACCAACAAGAGAACCTATCTCATAAAGTCATTATGAGGAAGCACCTAGAACAGAGCCAGGGACATAGTTAGTGCTCAGTAAATGATAGTTCTGATAATGACTTAATTGGACAGTGAAAGAGAGAGATTGTGTGATGGTGAAGGAGAAAACCAGAGGGAGACTGAAAGAGCTGTCAGTTAGGGGAGGAGTGTGGTGGGGGCAAGGAGGTAGAGTGGATTGAAAAGGGAGAAGAAGGATCCAGGAGAGGCAGCAGAAGGACACAGAGTGAGTGTGGAAGGGGCAGGGGGATGAACCTCTCCTGGGGGGGGGGGGGGGGAGGTCAGTGAGGGAAGGGGCTGGCAAAAAGGAAGGAAGCATGGAGCAATGCTCAGCATCCCTCAGTATCCAAAGTTGTGCCCAGCCCAGGGCCTGGCACACAGGAGGTGCTCAAAAATGCCTGGCAACAGTTGATGGATGAGGCCAGGAGCCAGGAAGCACTTCAGATTCCTCTGGTCTCCTGACTCCCCTGCCCATTCCTGCCTGTGGTTACCAGGGTTACCTGCTGAGTTGTTCCTGCAAGGCCTTCAGTACCCCCTCCTGCTCCCTCAGCAATTGTTCCTGGTGCTGGACCTGCTCTGTGGCCTTCAGAAGTTGATGTCTGAGGCTCTGGAGGGGAGAGGGGCATAAATGGGAAAGGGAAGCTGAAAGGACTGTCTTGAAGAACATCCCCAGGACACCCCAACCATGTGAGACCAGCCCTTATGGGAAGGACAGTACTGGGAGCTGGGATACCTGGCCCTATTCTAGACCTGCCTTGGGGAGAGCTTGGGCCACCATTTCCTCCTTCATTGGAAGCAACTGACAGAGCTCAAGAATATGGAAGAAATCTGTCTAGGGAGGAGGCTGAAGGAAGGCTTGATAACAATCTTGGGTAACCTCCAGGAGAAGTATCTACAACAAGAGCAACTTGGTGAGGTTTGCAACCACGCAATGTAGGTATTGGGAAGAAACCTGCCAATAAGGAGGCATATAGGACTTGAGAGCACATGGTTGCTTCAGTGAGCTTTTGCAGAGGGATCTTGATCTCAAATACCCAAAGGGGTTAGGCTGGTAGTATCAATGCATAAAGTAGGCCTGGTGTGAGGCAATAAGGAGAGGCGGGGACTGTGGTGCATGGCTTTCAAAAGGCATCCATCAATAATAATTGAGTGGACCAATAAGAACAGATCTGTGAGTGACATTGGAGACCCCCATCTGTGGACCAGATTAGAGAGGAGGGAATAGACAAGTCCAAAACCAATGGGTCTCACCTTAACCAGATCCTGCAGGGGCACCTCTGCTTGCTTCTCTCTCCCAGCTAGGCTGGTCAGTTGTGTTTGCTCTTGTGGCTTCTCTGTGATAGATCCTTCCCCTTTTCCCAGGCCCTGAAGGACCTGGGAGTCCCCCAGGATACTAGGCTCTAACTCCTGTCTGTACCCCAATGTTGCTTCTTCCTCTGTTGTCTGTCTGGGGTTGGAGACTAGGAGCCTGTGAGCATGGCCCCACTCTACTTCCCCTTCATGAGTTTCCTGTATTGATCTCTGACCTTTTGCTCCTGAAAGAACCACTGTGCCCTTAGTTTCTGTCCCTGTTGCCTCCTTCACAACTCCCTTGGCTCCCTCCCCCTGTCCCTGGATGCTGGGTGTTGGGTTCTGCAGGTAGATCCCAGGCCTTGGAGCTCCCTCCCTTTGAACTTGCTGGAGCTCCTCTTCCTCTGGTTCCCACATGTTCCAGGGGCTTCTGTGGCTTCTGGGATCTTCTCTCTTCTTTTCCAAAAAGGGGGAAAGATGTTTGTGTGGCTCAGATCCTGGGAGTTGTGCCAAGCAGCCTTCTTTGGATGCATCTCCCAGACAGTCACCTTGGGTAGGGTGTGGCTCCTCCTGATGGACTCCTTTGCGGCCTCCAGGTGCAGCTGAGATCTGTAGAGAAGCCCCAAACCTGTCACCTTGATGAGTGCTAATTCAGTGGCCTGGGGCATGGGAGAGGCCACAGTTCTAATCCAAAGAGTTTGCAAAATATATGAATGTCCGGCCCCTCCCTTGGGAGGTTTGATCCAGCAGATCTGAGACAGGACCCAGGAATGTGAGTCTTCACAAACACCCCAGGAGATCAGAGATGCCCACTTTGATCTCGGGAGGGACAATGGTGCTTCTCAGGCCCTTGTTCCCACTCCCCTAGCCACCCACTGACACTGTCACCTCCGGCTTCTACATTGATCCGTTTCCCTGAAGATCCTCCCACCCTCCTCTCCGTTGATCCCCACTTCTGAACTTGACTTCTTTGTGTCTCAGTTTCCTATCTGAAAAGTGGGGATAATAATACCTCCTTTTTAGGGTTGTGGTGAAAATTTAAATAGATGGAGACCCAGCTAAGAGTCACCTGCTTCAAGAAGTCTTCTCTCTCCTTCCATGTTCCCTCCCCTGTCTGTTTCACTACGTTTAGTATATTGCACTGGGTGCCTTTTGATGTCCATCTCCCTGAACAGACCTTGAGCTCCATGTGGTCAGAGGTAGAGTACTAATCGTGTCTGTACCCAGAAGCTAGTGGGGGTTCAATATGTGCTAATGGAATGATGATAGCAACAATGAAAAGCACATGGCTGGGAGCTCAGTTCACCTCACAATCATCCTACAAGGCAAAGCAAGTAACTTGCTTAAGGACTGTGGTTAGTCAGGGGTGGAGCTGGAATTTGAACTGACAGGGTGGCTTTTAATCATTCCCTGAACTGGAATGAGCCAACGGTAAACTGTCCAGGACAGGAAACTCCACAGCAGTTTGCTCCCTTGTTCATTTCCTGCAAGCACCTTCTTCTCACCTGGGTTCCCCTGGCTCCTTCTAGGGTCCCTTTAGTCTCCTACTAGTCCCACCACTGTAAAAGCATAAGGCCTCTTTTTCCCTGTGGCTCCCCAGCCCCCAGGCCCATGTATTGGTCTCTCTCTCTCTCTGTCTGTCCAGGTAGAGCAGGGCTCAGTTACTGCTCAGTCTGAGGGTCCCAACAGTGATGGAGAAGAGACGGCTTGGAATGCAGTGGGGCAGAAGCACCTTCTTTGGGGAAGCTTTAGTCTTTCTGGGTCTTCTTCCCTGAACTTGTCTGGAGTTGAAGCAACACGACCTAAAAATGAAAAGGTTAAGACAGTAGACTTGGTCCTCAGATGTAGGTTAGCCCATCCATCTACCACATGTTCGTTCTACTACTCTTACTGCCTCCCCACCCTCACAAAACCCACTCTCTATCCATCCTTATGTATCACCCTTCTCCATTCATCCATCCATTCCACCTCAACATCCCAATCTGTTCATCCTTCCAGACTTCCACCCTGACTATTCAATGAATCTTCAGTCAGTGCGTATTCTGTGCTGCATTATGGGATAGCACGAGATTACACTGGGAAAATAAAGCGACTAGGAAAATGATGAATCAAGGGGTCAGGGAGTGAGAAGGGAAGGAGAAACAGATGGGGCTGGTTTGGGAGGCTGGTGGTGCTAGGGGCAGGAACTAAAAAGAGGCTGCATTTCACACCACACTCACTCTGAGAACATGGGCCAGGCCTCATCCAGGTCTGGCCTCTGCAGATCCAAGTCAAAAGACACCCCATTGAGAGTGTAAAGACAGTCCAAGAGGTCTTCCTGGAGCTCAGGACACACCAGAGGGCTCCGAGGGCCATACCATTTCCTGTGGTAACAGTCACCAGCATTTTAGGCTCTTTGTTCTGGAACTGTTGCTGAGAGAATCAGACTACACAGCACATCATAATGGGGCTGGAGCCCAGGGAAGGTTGTGGCACTTTGGGCCAGAACCATGATGCTACCGGGACTCCTGGATTCATCCTCTGTCTGCCTTTTCTTCTTTAATTTTCCTTTGGAAATCTCCCTTTCATTCTCTTTAATATTAAACCATCCATCTGGGAGTTAAGGCGTGACCTTTTAAGATGAAGGGAAAATAGGCTCATATGGTATCAATGGGAGGATATCAGGAAGGACTTTCAACATCCCTACCTGGTGAGTGTTAGGTCCAGGAGGCAGAGCTGCAGGGACTCAGCCAGCTGTCCATGGGCTAGGCAGAAGCGGATGAAGGCACGCCCTTTCCCCAATGGGGTCTTCAACTGCAGAGTCCACAGGGAGCAGAATAAGGAAGTGGCAGTAGGTCTGGATGATGCAATGGTTAATGTGCTTGGCTGCTAATTGTAAGATTGGAGGTTTGAGTCCACACAGAGACAGTTCACAAGAAAGACCTGGCAATCTACTTCTGCAAAATCAACCTTTGAAACCCCGGGGAGTATAGTTCTATTATGACACACATGGGTCACCAGGAGTCAGGGTTGGCTTGATGGCAACTGATTTTATTAGGACAGAGGAAGCTCAACCAGCTCAGAGAGAGAAGAAAGACAGTGGTTGATAAGAGAGGGGATATCAGGAACTTGAAGGCTAGGGGGAAAGGAGATGGCTGGAGGGATGTTAATAAGAGACGAGGCTCAGGTGAAGGGGGTTTGTGGTCATTGGTAGAATAGACAGATGAGAAAGGGCCTTCAGACGGGACTGTGTCAAGGGCTTGCTGGCAGGGTCCCCCTCTTGCTTCCTCTCTGCCCTGGATACCTTGTCCTGTGAGTGGACGAAATGGGCCGGCTCCATATTCCCCTGTTGCCGCCTCAGGGCAGTGCAGAAGAAGTCCCAATAATCCTTCCGAGGCCCCAGGAAGCTCCTCTGCTCCTTTTGGTCAAACTGGGGCCAAGCAGGAGAGAGAAACGCATCAAAACACTTCTTCCTTGAACCCCCCATTCTAACCCAGAGTGCTCAGCTTTCCACCAGTTCCTTCCCTGGGAGGGCACATGGCAGAGAGAAAGAGCTCGTGCTGACAGTGGTGGTGGTGGTGATGGGCTGTGGAGTCGGAACTGACCCATAGCGACCCTGTACAGGGTTTCCGAGGCTGTAAATCTTTACGGGAGCAGAATGCCTCATCTTTCTCCCATGGAACAGCTGGTAGTTCCGAACTGCTGACTTTTAAGGTTTGCAGCCTGATTCGTAACCACTATGCTACCAGAGCTCTGTGCTGACAGTACTGGCTATATAACCAGGAGCTAACTGCTTGACCTCTCTGAGCCTCAATGTTCTCATTTGTTCATTCATTTAAAAACACCATTGAGCACTTACTATGTGACAGGCCCTATCCTAAACCCCAGGGAACACAGCAGTGAACAAACTGACTTTACGGAGCTCATGTCTTAGGGAAGATTGAGATGGAACAGTCTGAATTAGTAGCACACATAGCGTAGTGGTTACGAATCGGGCTGCGAACCTTAAGGTCAGCGGTTCGAAACTACCAGC